CTGTAATTAAAAATTAATAAGGATTTTGAAATTGAATATATTGAGAATTTTCAAAATGAAAAAAAATAAATATATTATGGTCAGTTGAATAAAATAATTTAATTACAATAAAATAAATATTTCAATTTATTTTTGGCAGAACAATGATCATATTTAAGTAATGATCAAATATAATTCATCTTGTTATTTAATGAACAATATAGTAAAATTATTTAAATTAAAAAATACAAAGTTTAAATGGCATTCATTTAAATTTTTAAAATATATATATAATTATATCAATAATTATACATGAATAATTTTATCTATGAAATTAAATAAAACCCATCAATTAATAGAGGGATGGAGTTCGGTAAAAACATTCATACGTACAAAGATTCCAAATAACATTAAAAAAGAATTCTTTAAAATATTTAAATAAAATTAATTAATTATAGAAAATATAAAATTATAGTAATACAAACACAAAAAGATTCCAAAACGTGAATTGTTTAACCTGGATTTGAGGAAAGTATTGATTTTTGGGGGATTCTATTAAGCATATTTACATCAATATGAAGATAAATATTTTTTATTATAATTTTTATAATTGTTAAATTAATAAATAAATGTGGCACAAACTCATTTTATTTAATAATTATGTCACTTTCAGAAATTATTTCGGCAAGTCTAACATCTTACGTCAATATAAAGATAATACGTTTGACACAACAAATATATATATAAATTTATTTGTCATTCTCACAACGATGTAATACCTTTGTCGACAGACGTGCGCTGAGCGTCAATGTAAAGTAACAATGATATATTTACAATTTACCCTCTAATCCATTGCCGAAGATGTACAAAGTTCATATAATAAAGCTTGCAATTGCATTGGATTATTTAATTTTTTTATTTTTCAGGAGAATATACTACCAACAGTTCGGGGAAGCGTATTGTTTACTATCTGCAGAGCCGATTGATCCGAAGCTGAGTCAAGAATTGACGAGGTAGCGCTTTATCTGCGAGGCTGTAGTGGGGCGAGATAACGAAGAGGAAGGTATACGGCATCGGGTCTCAGGCATACACAGTTTTTACACTAGGCTCACAGCTAAGCTTCTACAGCAGCGCAGCACGCAGCCGGAGCACACTGGCTCGTCAACTATGTGATGGATATACGGGCTCAGATTTGCTGATCAGCAAAGAACAAGATTGCAGAGCTTAGAGCGCAATGGTGGCTGCGGCTGTCCGGTGAAGGACGTGCTGGTACTTTAATCTTCCTCTGATCCTGGGCGCCTGCTACAGAGACATGGTTTCGACGTCTTCAGCCGCAGCCACTATCGCTCCTGATCGATGCTGCACGGCGATACCCTTGCTCACCCTCCTGGCGCTACATCACATCCAGCAGGTACTTTCCTCCCGGCGGATCCGACATCGATCCCTGCAGAATGAGCAGCAGCGATAATATAGATTGATTTCGACCTTTTGTATTTTTTTCATTTGTAATTTTCATTTTTTTAATTTGTTTCAGACAATAAAAATAACATTTTTATAATGTTCCTTGAATTGCGTGTGTGTATATATGCATCTTTTGTCAACTTTCACAAGGTGTAGAAAAATTTTGGTTTCAAAATAATATTTTAATTTTTTTTATTCCCTTTTCATTTTTGCGACCGATTTGCGACGTTTGATACCCAAAAAAAAATTTTGAATTTATAAATTGAGACCGATTTGCGACCGATTTTAAAAAAATTGCGACCGATATTCTGCGGCCAAAGTTGCGACTGAATTTCCAATTAAACCACGACCAAAATTTGCGACCGCTTTTTCCAATTTTGCACCGAATTATCGGTCTCTCTAATTTGCGACCGATTTTCTCATCGGTCGCAATTGACATTTTGCCGACCAGTGTATTTTGCGACCGACGTTTTTGTCGGTTCGCAAATCGGTCGCAAAAGTATAAATTAGCGAACCGATTTTATTGCCATTTTTGCGACCGATTTGTCGTCGCAAATGGCGTTTTTTTTTTTTGTAGTGAGTGTAATTATTATTCCTTTCCTACTTTTAAATTTAAAAAAATGAAATTGATTTGCAAAAAATATTTTTCAATGGATTTGCTTTTATGAATTATAACTTATATTCATAAGTTTTTAAAGAGAAAAAGATTTTTTGAAGCATATGAACCGATGACTTATCTGTAAATGAATTTTTGATTCTTATACCTTGAAAGAGGAGGGATGTTGACCAAATTGATACCTGTAGTATGAAGGGGTGGCCGTGAATTGAATGTTTTTTTAGCAGTGGGTTGTGAAATGAAATGTTGTCGCATGTGATTTTGATATTATTTATAAATTTGGACTGGTTTAAACAAGTCTTACAGCCTGATATGATTGGTTATTACCCCGGAATATCATTTTCATTTGTTGAAGTTGATAATTACGATCGAATTTGAACATGGTAATATCATCACTAGATGATATATGAAATTGACAATGAAATTCTCCCCTCCTGTTGAGGTTGTAGAATTGCTCCCTCTTCTGTTGAATATCCATATCGACAGATTGGGAGGTTGTAGATGCCAGGTCTAGATGTGCACATTAGACCTGATGGCCTCAGAATTGACTCTATAAAGCTGTAAAGACGATATTATGAATTGAATGATTTAAATGGTATTGATTTATTTGTGTTTTTTATTTTTCTTAACCATGTGGATTATTTGAATTGTCATTCCTTATATTTTATTAGTAGCACCAACTAAGCCATATGTTAGCGATAGTTGCTTTTTGTACTATCGCAGGTAGGAAGGAAAGAACCAAGAGAGGATGCATTTTTATTGAATGTAGATAGTATGCTACTGATGTGCTATTTTGGTATATTTGACTTCTTTTGGAATATGTATGATGTATTAAAACATTTAACAGATCATTTATGTATATTTGAGCCAGATTCATGTAATTATGATGTATGAATTTGAAAATTTATAGTCTATTAAAGTAATTAATTTCTATTATGTATCTAAGATTTGAACAAGGTACTCAATATGTATTAATAATCATCCATGGACTTATGGTTTTGGAACCATTTATTTTTATGTTTTTTTTTAATATGTTTAAGAAATTAATATTGAGATTAATATCTAACGAAGAGAAGTTTATATATATTTATAAACTAAATTATTTCTACAGAATATAAAAATGAAAGGAATTAAAAGGATTAAGTCCCTTGTAGTATACTTAGTAAAGCATTTTATAAGAATTAAGGTGTTTATTAATTTATATTACGGGCGACATGGCCATGTTTAACAGTAGGGTAGGTGTGGACACCCTTTTTTGCTAATTGATTTTAATGTTTTTTCACAGTAGTTAATTAAATTTAAAATTTTTATCACGCAAATAAAAAAAGATGAATCTTTGCATACAAATGCATTTTAGCCATTCAATTTATATTTGGGTTTCATCACTATATTTAAACAGATGAGTGTTAGGATCAGCATAGATTGATGACGATAAATTGACCATGAGTTAGACCCATTTCCTATCCTCAATTTGGATGATGTGATTTTAAATGTCATTGAAGCGTCATAGTCTTTCCTCTTAACTTGAATGCATATTTTTGTTCCGGTCTGGTCCTGGTATGGAATGAACTTATATCATGATCGACTCGAATTAACTTAGGAGTAGGAATCAAATTTGATTCTACAATACAATATTGATTGGGTAGATCGGGTTCATAAGTTTAAAAAGTAATTTTCATTTTTCTTTTCATTTTTTCAATTTGGCATAACTATATCCGAGCAGTATTAATTTTTCCAGTTATCTCTTGAACACTTTGCAAAGTACTTCTTAAAAATATTCGATTTTTAAAGTGGTTTACCTAGTGAAACATTATGAGATATTGCTTTTTATGAATGGATGATGAATGAAATATATTTTCCAAACTGGTGTCTTGATATTGAACTTCATCATTATTGTGGTAAAAATTAATCAATGGGTTATTTGATCAATTTTTTCACTACTTTTGAGCCAATTCATTTTTCCCCTTCCAGGCTTTGTGAATCTGTGTGCTAGTTTTTTAGGTGGATTATGGAATTATGAAAAAAAAAAGAATAAATGGAATGTGAAATTAGTGGATTAAGTTGAAAATTATAATTTTCAAGTACTAAGGAAATTATTAAAAAAAAATCAGGTCAAGTGAATTTAAAAATGGAAAATTGAGATTAGAAAAGGAATTTGGATGTAGGAAAATAAAAAAAAATGAAAAATTAATAATTTCAAGATTAAGGAAAATAAATCAATAGAAAAAAATAATGAAATATAAAAATTTGAGAGGATTTTAATTGAAAATACGTGGATAGTTCGAATATAATTGGTTATGGAAAAAAAAATCATCAACTCATCATATTTATAAATATTTTTCATTTATTAGTTTCTAAAAATTTTCCTTATATAATAATCATATTTTTGGATAATTTAATAAATCATAATAAATAAATAAATATTTAAAAATGAATAAAAAATTACTTGTAAACCACCTGTTATTCACCTTTCATGAATTGTAAACCAAATTTTTTGGTATAATTCAACTATTTAACTACCATTTTGTACAAATTAAGTCAAACCATTTGTACTCTCTTCACCATTTTTTATAAAATCATATCATGTACAAGTTAACTCACACACAAATTGAGTCAGTATAAGTAAGTCAAGTCACATAAATTTTTTCATAAAAAATTTTCAGCTACAATTTTGTTTGTGCAACCGGTTCGAATCGATCCGAACCGCCAGTTCATATTTATATTTTAATATTCACCTAAACTTTAACCAGCCCATAAACCACTAGTTCCAGTTCAATTTCAATTCATCTACAGTTATCCAATCTGTTTCTAAAATGTGTAGCTAATCAGTAGTTAAAGTTTGCGTCTCTAATCCATAGCAATTCCATAGCTAGCTGTAGCCATTCTTTAACAACTTTGTAGTTATTTATTACAAATCCGTCTCCGTAATTGTGTATCTAAGTCTTCAACAACTCGCTTATTCTTTTTCTTTTTCTGCTGTTGTGGTCTTGCAGATGATTCTTGAAACTTATGGTTTCAATTTTAGCAATAAAACGTGAAAATTAAGATTCTTTAAAAACAAGAAAAAGATCTTTACACAACCAAGTCCAATCCTCTAAATACGAGGAAATTATTAATAATATAAAAGAACATCCCAGTTAAGTTACTCAACCGTTTCAGAATTTTCATATCTGAAAATAATCATTCTCTGTTGATCTTCTTCGGTGTTGCTCTTAATGGTATAAGCTTTCGAACGGTTATTTCCCATTCCTTCCTTCATGTCTATGGTCTGTGGAGTAGAACCGCTGCCAACCTCCCAGTCAAAACAGTGAAGCAAGGACGCTACAACATGATGAAGAACGCGGTGAGCCATTGGGATGCCTGGACAAATTCTTCGTCCGGCACCAAATGGTAATAACTCGAAGTTTTGCCCTCCACTGTGACAAGCCGGCGATGAAATCGCCATCTGGAGCCATACTGGCCTAGAGAAACCGATGACTGATTGTAATTATGAGCTGTCTAGCATTCAGGAACTTTCCGATCACAAAAACTAAAATCATGATTCTTGAACAGTTCTTCAGCTGCCTTGGCAGACTGTATTACCAAGGTGTTAATGGAACCAAGTCTTAACCAAAGTATTGGTCCGTACTTGAATCTATATTTGTACAAATTCTGATGCGGAGTGGTTCCAAGATTGAAAATATTACCAAAGGTCAGCCAAGGCTTAGGCCCCGGTGGACGTAATTTGGCACCGGATTTTGATTTCCTATGTTTCAGCAGAAGAAACACAGTTGCCAAAAATAGAAAACTAAACCAGGTAAACAAATTACTGTAGCGCCACTCCATTTCTGAGCTGCTATCAGCTATTTTTTAACTTCTTGATTTGTATATTACCAAAGATCAGCCAAGGCTTAGGCCCCGGTGGACGTAATTTGGCACCGGATTTTGATTTCCTATGTTTCAGCAGAAGAAACACAGTTGCCAAAAATAGAAAACTAAACCAGGTAAACAAATTACTGTAGCGCCACTCCATTTCTGAGCTGCTATCAGCTATTTTTTAACTTCTTGATTTGTACAAACAACTTTTTTTATTCCCTCATAAATTCGTGTTACATGTTTTCAAGGAGTCGATCAAGTGGAGGCCCCAAAGGAAATTATCTTTTTTCTTTTTTTCTTTTTACTTTTCTTGTTTGGTTGTATGTCTTGTCATTGTGAATTATGAAGTTAGTAAATAATCTGATTGATTTTGCCCCACTTCTATATTTTATAAAAGAAATCATTTGGAGACAATTAGCAAATTTGAAAATAATTTGTTGGCATGCATAAATTATTCATTATTGCAAGAATTTAGTGAAACATATCATCTTAGCTCGGGCAAGACAACTCTTAAAATAGAATGCTATAAAACAAATTAGCTTACTTCCACCCACTTCAAACAATATCAGTGGAATTAGTAATCATTTGCTCAATTTTTTTCTACCTTCTTCTCCAACTTACTTTTGCCCCAAACGTAACGCTTGTGTATAGGGGAGTGCAAACGGTAGGATTGGCAAAATTGAACCGGACCTGTCATAATCGAATTAGCTGAAGTTTTCCGAAATGTACACTGAACTGGGCTGATTAGTTTACATAAATAATTACTGATTTTCATACATTTCTTTGACAAAATAAAACAAAGAAAAGTCTATCTTTTGTCTGAGTGTCCGTATCATGAATATTTGGTCTAGAGAAATTTCTTCCTTGGATTTTGATGGCAACCATAAAATATGTTTAAAAGCAAGAAAAAGGGAAGGCAAAGACAAAACAATTCATATCATGCACTTGAATGGTATTCAATTACTTGGTTTGAATTTGTCATATATAATTTTTTTTTTGTGATCATTTATTAATTATTAATTAAATCTTCGTGTAATTAGCAAGCTTTTCATAAAATTGTTATTTAAAAATAAAAAACATTTCAAAAAGTTTCAGTTGGGTATTTTTGATGATGTTTATTAACGTTTACCATTATGTTTTATGACTGTCTTCTATGGTAATATTTTATATGGCCTTCTTTTTCATGCCCACTATTTTCCAATGGGAAATCCAAAAAATCCTTCGTGAAGTTGTTGATGAAAGATAATAAGCCAAGCAAGAAAATGAAAGTTACTCCAAATATATAGATCGTACCCTGAATTTTCAAAAAATAAACCTACAGTACCTCCGATTTTGTACAAAACCAATTCTGCACATCAAATTCATTTTTTTTCTATCATTTAAGCATCTCTTCGGTCAATTCTCTCACAAGGAATTTAGGCAGACGCAAACTAGGATAACTCATTAGAAATTGGGGCCCATTTTAACTGCCAGATTGAAAATTTTAAATAAAATTTTTTAGTTTTTTTGTTAAAAAGTGACTCTTCATCTTCATTTTTTTTTAATGCTCAATTTTTACTCTTTATTCTAGATGATGAAAATCCTTGGATTCTCTAATTAATTTAATATTAGTAATTTTCCGGAGTGCTTGGTTATAATTTTCCTATATTTGAGCTATATTTTAATTAAATTTTGGAGTAGGTTAAGAATATATCTAAGGCCTAGAAATAATTAGTAAAGTCAACAATTATTAGTGACAGCCAAAAATATAAAATCCAAAAATAGTTAATAACTATTTGAGGATAAATCAAAGGGAATTGTGTCGGAAAAAAAAAAAAAAAAAAAAAAAAAAAAAAAAAAAAAAAAAAAAAAAAGGATAGGATGGAGGAGGAAGAAGAGTTCCAAAAGGAGTGAAGAAAGGAAAGAAACCTTATCAAACCAGCGAATAAAAAAACTAGGAGAGCACGTTAAAAGAAAAAGGAGAGAGGGGAGGATAAAGAAAAATTAAACGTGAAAAAAAAAAAAGATATAAGAAAAAAAGGAAGAAATGCGGCAAAGTATAGGGAAGATTAGAAATCACCAATTATGAGAATTATTTTGAGAATTGAATTAAAACGGTAGGAAAAAAAAAAAAACACATTACAAACTGAAGAACATCAATTTATATCGTTTATATTTTATGTTTATTCGTTTGATTAATAAGAATACAGAGAAAACACACCTTGTAAGTGTTAGATTTTTAGAGTTTGCAAATTCAAATCTAAACTTTAAAAACCAAAGATCACTTTGTTCCTATTGTTCTTATGTCAAGAGCAATATAATCAATGGTTTCTATTGTTTTAATGGTTTAATTTTCTTTTTCTTTATTTTGTTATATTTAAATTCATTTTATTCATATTAATTTTGAATTTGCAAATTAGTTTTATTAATTTTTACGTAATTTATGTAATTTTATTTGATTTTAAAAATAGTCTTTTAATTCTATCTATGATAAGTGTAATTAGTTTGTGACGTTATATTTTTGTATTTGCATCATCATTTATATTCATTGTTTGTTTTGAGTCACGACTACAAAAGTGTGGGCACGAGCGCATTACGAGCAAGTCAAGTTAACGGCCCAAGATCCGTATAATTAATATATGATATCATTTAAAACAATTTAAGAAATGCCATAATATGAGTTTCATTAAATCATTAGATTTATATCTCTAGTTCCAGCTTCCACATTTCAATTAATCATAGCTCAGGCCATAACTTTTTTTTATCACCATAACAGCTTCCACATTTCAATTAATCATAGCTCAGGCCTATAACTTTTTTTTTATACCATTAACGCAATCCATAATATGGGTAAACTAGTCCATTCATACTTTTAAAGAGTCAATTAGAAAATTCCACAGGTTTATTGAATGACACACAAATAACTTTTACATGATAAATTGTAATAGATGAGTCTCTATTTGCGGAGCTTAGTAAGTAGACGTAGATACATTTTTATACATAATACTATATATTCAAATATTATCAGAAACTAGTAATTACTACTATAACTTTGCGAAGAAGGAAACAGAGCTTATCTGAATCAGCACAGTGTCTACCTCCTGGGGAAAAATTTGACGAATGGGTGAGTTTTACAAACTCTGAATAATAATAAATAATGTATAGCCCAAACGATCACACATGATGCTTTCTGCATTTATTATAATGAACACTCGTCTAATTAAGCACATAACACAACTTCAGCATCCATAAATAATATCACCTTCAAGTAATCACATCAAATGGAGATTGGTCAGTGGCGTCACAAAACCCCTAACAAGTTGTCTTCGTACATGGCTTATCCTCTCATACGTGTGCACTAGGGAACCGATCCCCATACATGGTCAACCGGTCTAATCCTCACTTGACCAGTCCTCTTATTGTTTTTGCATTCTCTCTTTCTTTTCATTATCTACAGGAGGTCATCCTATGGTTTTACTATATCATCCATATCATATTTCATCAGTGCACACCGAAGCGCCGATCTCACATACATTGCCAATGGCCCGGACCGTATCACAATCTCATTAGTGACCTACTTCATCCCAATTTCACCCAAAAACAAGGCACAACATTATCACATTGCAAGTCATCCAATCAATTGATACATTAAAATAAGTCACATAGAAAAATCAATATGCACATACGAATATAATTATGAAATATATAACTTTAATTGTTTAATATTCATGTACTTATAATACTAAAATTATAAGGTGGATCATAATGTAAGTAATTTCACTTTTATAATTGACAATACTTTCGCAAGTGTACGAAATCGCTACAAGTAATATATGATGAGTAGAATGTCGTTCCCACGAGGATTGTATACCAAGTACCAAAATTATATTAACCTAAAAAAATTATATTAACCTATTTAATTATTTAGAGATAAATGAGGAATTGTTTCAAGAATGTAAATTTTCAATAAGTAAAATAAGAAGAAGTCAGCAGGCAAAATTTGATTAGAGAAATCAAGGATTTAAAACTACTAAGGATTTTGATTTCACTTAATTCTATCCAATTAATTCTATCAATTCATTAATCAATTTTAATTGTTTAAGTAGGGGAAACAACTCTAAACTCTCTAACAAGCTCTCCCGATGTATTGTTAGCTATTTTAATTCCGTCTACTAGGGACTGATTTTACTTAATTCTATCCAATTTATTCTATCAATTCATTAGTCAATTTTAATTGTTTAAGTAGGGGAAACAACTCTAAACTCACTAACAAGCTCTCCCGATGTATTGTTAGCTATTTTAATTCCGTCTAACTACCTATCTTCTCATAGCACAATCAAACATGAATTAAATTATTAAATTTTATAGTTTGTTTATGAATTCATAAATTAAAGTTGTTAATTCATGAAAAACTCCCCATGAGTCAAACCATATAGCTTCCGCATCAAGTTATTATTCCCATGTGATTCATTAACTTTTTCATGTCAAAAATCCTTCTTCCGATAGTGATTAATGAAATAACTCAATCCAGGAGAGAAACTTTGCCTGGAAGCATTAAGTTCATCAATAAATCATAGCTTGAATAAATCATGACTTGAACAAAGAAAAACAAATCTAATAATTAATAAATTGGGAAAAAAGAAAATTAAGCTACATCAAATCCCTAGTATGAGAATTTAGTTTAGACATAAGTGCTTAAATAAAAACTCAATAATAATTTGATAAATATTCATAATTAAATCAGAATAATGAAAGAAATAACAAGGTTAAGAGTTTAGTTAGAAATAAGAACTAGTTAACAATTAGCTCTGAATGGCTTCCTTAAATCCTTGCACAACTCTTGAATACTAGAACTCTAAAAAAAAAAAAAATGAAACTATATACAAGACTAAGAGAATGAGATCTGGGATGAGATAGAATGGCATGAGATGGGATGGTATGCCTTACAATGAGCCCTTACTCTCTTTATATAGACTTTTTGGAAAGGAGTCCATATTGTTTAGGGAATAAAGTCCACCTTGTTTAGGTAACAAAGTTCTCATTAGGCATTAAATTTCTCTCAATCATGACTCTTCCATGTGCATAGATTAGAACTTGATTTGCATGTGAAGAAAGTATCCAAGGTGAGCTCATGAAAATGGTGGTGAAAAATGGTGGGAATGGTTGGCAATTTTGACTCAAATAAGCTCTTGGTCTAAGCACGAGCCGTGTAGGAACCACGGTCTGGGCGTGCAGAATTGGCTTTTGTGCGTGAGGGATCAGGCAAGGGCCGTGCTCGAAAAGGCACGTTTGGAATAAGGTCTTGTGGCACGGGCGTGCGCTAAAATGTAGCTAGCTTAGGCGTCTAAGGCCGTAGAGTAGGTCCAGATGTAGAAGTAAATAGCATCGTGGCTGCGGTT